ATCTCTTAATGAACTGCAGTGGAGGAGAGGGGAGCGCTCCTTTTTTACATAGAGCATGTAAAGCAGGCTCTGGCTTTTGTTTCTCCCTCCCAACTACAAAATGGATTAGCGGTGGACCAATGCAAAAAAGAGGGGTAAGGAGAATTTGGGGAGATTTGAGCAGGAGTTAGGGTCATTGACTACCTTAAGTTTAAGTAAAGGCGGTAAAGTAGTAAGGGGGTAATCGACAATGAAGTCTAATCGACAGCAGGGGTAGCCAAACGGTGCAGTTTTTTTTTTTTTTCCTTTTCCTTTTTTTTTTTTAGCTTTTTTCTGGCCGTTTCTTTATCCGCTACCCCCTGTCTGCACACAAAGACATTAGGCTGCCCCGGAGCCTGGAGCCGCCATGAATAGTCAAGCTACAGCAAACTAGTTGAACCGAGAGAAAGTGCAGTAACTTCACAACATACACTTTCTTAACCTCTGAAACTACAGAATTTAAACTTAGACTGGCATGTGTGCACTAAAAACAGGTCAAAGTTAAGTTAAAACAGCTTGATTTGAGGACTTTATCTTAAATTGAGCAGATTTTGACAAGATATGATAAGATTTTGCCAACTGAGTAAAGTTTTTATTTCAAGCGCAGTTCGATTTTTGTTATTTTAAGTGAAATATGACTTTACATTTTACGTTACGTGTAAAAAAAATCGACTCAAATTAAGATAAACATTCTTAAACCAAGACATTTTAACTTTTTGAAGATTATAGAATTAGAAGAGAGTTACAGAAGAAACTATAGAATTTAAAGTTCGACTAAACCATTAAAAATTGGTATGTGTGCGCTAAAAACTGGTCAAAGTTAAGTTAAAACAGCTTGAACAGAGAATTTTATCTTAATTTGAGCAGATTTTGACAAGATTTGATAAGATTTTGCCAACTGAGTAAAGTTTTTATTTCAAGCGCAGTTCAATTTTTGTTATTTTAAGTGAAATATGAACTTTACATTTTCCATTACTTGTAAAAAAATTGACTCAAATTAAGAACTTAAGATAAACATTCTTAAACCAAGCCATTTTAACTTTTTGAAGATTACAGAATTAGAATAGAACTATAGAAGAAACTATAGAATTTAAAGTTCGACTAAACCATTGCAAATTGGTATGTGTGCGCTAAAAACTGGTAAAAGTTGAGTTAAAACAGCTTGGAATGAGAATTTTATCTTTATTTGAGCAGATTTTGACAAGATTTGATCAGATTTTGACTGGTCATTTGCCAACAGAGTTAAGTTTTTATTCAAGCGCAGTTCGATTTTTGTTATTTTAAGTGAAATATGAACTTTACATCTTCCTTAACTTGTAAAAAATCGACTCAAATTAAGATAAACATTCTTAAACCAAGCCATTTTAACTTTTTGAAGACTATAGAATTAGAACAGAAGTTCGACTAAACCATTGTAAATTGGTATGTGTGCGCTAAAAACAGGTCAAAATTACATTAAAACAGCTTGGATTGAGAATTTTATCTTCATTTGAGCAGATTTTGACGAGATTTGACAAGATTTTGCCAACTGAACAGCAGGCCTAGTTAAGTTTTTATTTCAAGCGCAGTTCGAAGTGAAATACGACTCTACATTTTCCCTTACTTGTAAAAAATCGTCTCAAATGAAGATAAACATTCTTAAATCAAGCCATTTTAACTTTTTGGAGATTATCGTAGAGCGCTCTTTTGTCAAAACTGTTTAACTTAAGCTTAACTACATTACTTATCATTGTTCAAAGTCTTTTCCGAGCTCTCCACTTCTCAAAACAGACATGAGTGCCCATTTTCGTCCGCGACTTCAACGGCATACCACCTGAAGTCCCCCCATTCACCGGACAATGCCGAGGTATTCCCCTAAAATAAAAGAGGCGTCCCGTCCCCAAACAGGCTCCCACTGTGGCCTATTGGCTCTGAACTCCTAACCCACACCAAGAATGCGCACACACAGGCTAATTCCAGTCCCCACAGCCCTGGTAGTGTTGCGTTTGCGGCCGTCTATACTTGGTGCGAGGGTGGACGCGGTTTGTCCCGGGGCGAAATGGCAAACGAGGAGGCAAACTGAAGGCTCATTCAAATCGAGTATTTTAAAAAAGCAAATTGCGTGTCAGCCTGTACTGCGAACCTACAAAATGGTTCCAGGGAGTAGCGCAAGTAGGCGTGCACAGAAATACTAATCTCCTGTTAATATAGAGCACAAAGAAGTAGGACTATGCATTAATCTGTACATTTTTGTTCAGTAGAAGCTAGAAATAACATTTATATTCCAAAAAAATCACTAAATAGATCATATAAACTTGGATTCCTTGTAATCCTATAGTCTCAGTGTAAAAGAATCGATAGTTTTAAGTAGTTTGTAACAAAAACAAAAATCTGCTTTGCTCTTGTTGGACTTAAAATTAACATTTCTAACTTCAACGTTTGTCTTCACCAAAAGGTCACCACTTCACAACGCAATCCTGATGCGACAAAGAGCCGTGTAAAGCAACTGCCAACAACAATTTGACAATTTAAACTAGTTTGTAAAGAAAATCGCAATCTGCTTTGCTCTAGTTCGACTTCAGATTAACATTTCTAACTTCTGCGTTTGTCTTCTCCCCAAAAGGTCACCAGATAGCGCCTCCTCGACAACGCTGGCCTGATCTACAGAAGCGATAAGAGCCATTTGGGGCAGACTGCGAGTGAAAGCGAAGGGCTAATTGTAGCGTCTTCAAAATGGTGTCATCACAAAAGGCGTCAGATGGCCTTGGCATTAAGGACCTTTGCTACATTTCGAGGCAGAGGCTCTCTTCGAATCCCTGCGCACACAAGCAGGTCTGGAAACACCGAGCACAGTCAACACGAAGACCCAGGTGCTTGGAATTAAAAGTAAATACAGATTAGACGCGATAATGTGTACGCAAATAACCAAAAAGCAGGTTTATCTCCAAAAATCTATCCGAAATGTACAATCTAGTTGCAAAAAAAAGTAAGAGTTGCAAAAAATAAGCAGCAGAATGAAAGTTTTGTAGTTCGGACACATCTAGAATCAACCCTCGTGAGCTGAAATCTAAAGTAGCATAGAAAAATAACAAAACCACACAAAGAAAAGGTGCCCACGATAAATTCTGACCCCCAAAATAATCGTTCCATCTTCCATATATTGAACGATAAGTCAATATTTTAATTATCGTGGTAGGGCTCCTTGGAACCCTGAGTTTGGGAGCACAATGGGCACCTGTTGGACGTCACAATCTGGCTTATGTGTGGAAAAAAATGGGGGTAAAAATGAAAAGATCTGGGGTAGCTCTGGTGCCAAAAGCTGAGTTATTGAGGAGCCAGGCGTGACGAAGCGGTCCACAAAGAGGAGCGCCCCCTGCCAGGCTCGGGCCAGGGGCAGAGCAGCGGAGAGACAGGCTGTTTTATCAACCAAAGAAGAGAAGGGTTCAACCGCGCATGAAGCACCATAAGAATATTTATGAGTGGAATTCACATCGCAAAAAAAAAAAAAAAGGGGGTATTTAGATTTTCGGGCAGTTTTCGGTCAGGAAGCGGGGCGAGTTTTCTATGGGACGTCCTGTGTGTGACGGGGCATTGGGTGAGCACTGTACGGCAGGGCAGACAGTCTGGAAACTATGGACAATGCTCTATTCAAAACCTTCCATAAAGTATTAGAGGAGTCATGTTTTAAAAATAAACCGCTCGGTGGCTACCAGTTCCAATTGTGGATTCTGAGGACGGTTTTAGTTTTGACCCTATATAAGTGCCAACAACTAAAATTAAACGACATTCAGAGTAATAAAGGTGCGCCAAAACTTAAGTTGGAAAAAAAATGGTTGAAATTAGGTTGGGTTTTTTCATATTTTTCCAATGTTTGCCAAGAAAATTCAACTATAAGTAACCTATCCAAGAATACTGTGTGGGAAATTAATAATTAATGGATTACAAGCACGTTCAAAAGACTGGGGCCAAGACTATTTTGTCAAAACACGCACAGCAATTAAGCAAATAGGAACTTGTTTAAAAGTTTTGCATTATCAGTATCCTCAATTAAGAAATAGTTGGGTCTATAACTTAAACTACACTGTCAAACAAACTTATAATCGTAATTTTGCGTAATTTTAACTTGGTTACTTTGACTGATTCATGGTTTAGGTTGAAAATAACTTTTGGAAACTTTTGGTTACTTCATAAATACCGACTATAAACTAAGAAAAAAATAATTCCCGTGTAATTTGTTTGGAAAGTTGACAGTATATTGTGCAAAATGCAAAACTATCAGCGCGTAAATGGCTGACCGTGCGCCTACACGACGTTCCCAGTGTCCAGTTTTGGGCCTGCCCCGCACTAAACCCAGCTCCACGGAGCCCACAGACCTGTCCCACAGCGAGATACATTATCCACGTCTACGCACTGAAACCAGACGTGAACCTGAGCCGCAAACAATCCTCGTATTTTCACCGAACGCTCATTTCACGAACTAAATGACACTGTACTGTTTTACTAGTGTCTCTGGAGCTCGCAGTGGAGTGGCACAATGGGGGGAAAAAACGCGTTCAAAGCGGGCCCACGGCGTCAACATCATCCACTGCTGCGCGTAAAAACCAACCGCACTCCAAAGACAAGAGGGGGGGATCTATTCGACACCAGGCACCAGGCTGCAGCTCCAGATCCAGACTGGGACACGGGGCCTGGACGTTTACGCGCATAACAATGTGGAGAAATGTTCCTCCAGCACCGCAGTGGATATTATAGCTCTCCATTACGCACATCTACCGAGTATAAAGGCTGGTCTCATTTCGGCAAACGCAGAAAAAGAAGGCGAGGCTGAATAAACGCACGATCACACCGAGGTTTCACTGCAGATTGTTGAAAACCAGACACTAAATTGCTATAATTTTGGTGTTTTGCGCAGAGCGGGACTCAATTCGGTGTCTAAAATCGTGTTTGGTGTGTGTTGGGGAGCGCGTAAGGCTGCGGGGTGCGTGCGCTCGCCGTGCACTTACTTGGTGTTTGTTGTGTTCCAGTATATGGACTCGAGGATGAGCGCCCGGGACAAGTCCAATTTGAAGGCAATAAACAAAACTCCAAGGTAATATCTCCACGTCGAGTCCCCCATGGTGGTTCCGCGTGCGTGCAATCCGTGCCAGAGATGTGTCCAGAAAAAAAAAAACTGTGGCAAAACAGAAAGACTCCTCCTCGTGCGGGTCGCGTCTGCTTGCCGTTCAGCGTATATCCCGGTACGGAGACGGCTAGAGCATCTCCAGGAGCCCAAAGGCGCACGGCCGAGGTTGGAACAAGAGAGCGCGTCTATCTATATTCTCCCCTTGTTCAGAGCGCACACTTCTTCACCTCGCTCCCGTACATCCCTAGGAGAGAGAACAAGTGGCCGAGGCAGGAAAAAATTAATAAAAAAATAAAGAAAAACTGAGCAAACCAACTGCAGCAAGTAAATCCCTTTGCGTTTTTATAGTCCACAACAATCCACCGGACGCGTGAGCAAAGAGGATAAAGCAGAAATAGACAAACAACGAGGAAAAAAAAAAAAAAAAAAAGAAAAGCGAGATGGCTGCTGGTGGTGGAATGACTTCGGAGAGAATTCAGCTGGTGAGCATAAAAATGACCAAAACAAACGGATGATCAAAATGGAGCAAATGGATCAAATATGAAAATGGGAGAAATCAAACGAGCTGGAATGGAAGTTCTCATTACATAGAGGTCCACCAGAAGAAGTCCAGGAGAGGAGAAAGAAAAAAAAAGGCGCGGATAAAAAGTGCAACCTGTGCCCGCGGCTCAAGTCCTGCTTATCCGCATAGAAACTGCACACAGCGCCGTGGTGGGGTTGAAGGAGCTGGTTTCTGCTGCTGCTGCTGCTGCTGCTGCTGCTGCTGACTCCCAACCTGGACGCGAAGTAACTGCGAGTGACCGCGACTGACTGGGAATATTTGCTTGAGCAGTGTTCGGCGCGCTGGCTCCGCCTCCTCCGCGGCTCCTGATTGGTGCGCGCCGCGGGATAGACGTTGGGGAGCTGTGCTGTCAATCAAGCCAGGGGGGGTCAGCACGGGAGTCACAGCGAAGAGGGAAAAAGACATATAAAGAGGTTATATTATTTACTTTTACGCACAAATATACGCGTAAATATCACCGGATTTAACATAAAAATCACGTTGTACTCTAAAGGAACAGACACAGCGCGTTCATTTGCGCGACAAAACAAATATTAGCACTGTAAAATAGCTCATCACTTTGTTTGATTATGCTTTTTTATTATTTACTTTCAAGCTAATTTCCCTAAAAAAAAAAAAAAAAAAAAAAGTGTCCCCCCCAAAAGCGCGCACAACAACAGTAGCCCGGTAAGGAATGCATGGAGCTTACCTTGCAGCGCGCGGAGCAGCACAGCCAGTTTTTCCAAAGACCACGAGCGCCCACTAGCGGATGCGCGCGGAAGGAAATGCAAGTTCAAAGAGAGGGGCATTGATTTAGATGTTTCTGCGTTTTGACAGAGAAATGCAACTTGTGGAAATGTGGAAATGCGTTTTTAAATATGATATGAATGTTGACCGATTACAAAAAGTACAAAAACAGACCATTTTGACATTATTACATTTAGAAAAGTGGCTCTGAAAGTTGGTTTCTTGAGGCTGTCTAACACACTCCTAATATTTTAGATTTTGTGAATTATTATTGGTAATAGTGGTATGGTAATGGTAATGCAACTTGTGTAAATGTGTTTTAAATCTGGTATAAATGTTGACTGATTACAAAAAGTACAAAACAGACCATTTTTACATTATTACATTTAGAAAAATAGCTCTAAAAGTTGGTTTCTTGTTAGATTAAGACTGTCTAACAAAACTATTGATATTTTAGAACAGACATGTCAAACTCAGGCCCGGGCACCAAATTTGGCCCATAATATAATTATATTTGGCCTGTGAGATCATATTAAATATGTATTAGAGCTGCCCACTGACTACAGATAGACTATAGACACATTATTAATAAAAATAATTGGTTATTATTTTATATTCTGCTTGGTCTGGATTCAATGTTTAAGCAAAACTATTATTAAACATTCATTTTAATAAGAAAAGGTTTAACATTACAGATCTTGAAAGAAGAGGAAACATGCAGATGTTGTTGAACTTTTTCATTAACGTTTGTCCCACGACTTAGTTCCAGTTTTTAATTTTGGCCTCTGATTTAGATGTTTCTGCATTTTGACAGAGAAATGCAACTTGGGTAAACGTATAAATGTGTTTTAAATCTGATATGAATAGTGACCGATTACAAACGTACAAAAAACAGACTATTTTGACATTATTACACTTAGAAAAGTGGCTCTAAAAGCTGGTTTCTTGTTAGATTAAGGCTGTCTATCAAAACACTACTGATATTTTTTAGACTTTGTGAATTATTATTGGTAATATTGATATGGTAATGGTAATGCAACTTGTGTAAATGTGTTTTAAATCTGATAATAAATATTGACTGATTACAAAAAGTTGCAAACAGAGAATTTTTAACTAATTAATTACCTTTATTACATTTATAAAAGTGGCTCTAAAAGTTGGTTTCTTGTTAGATTAAGCCTGTCTAATAAAACACTGTTGATATTTTAGACTTTGTGAATTATTATGGTAACAGTCTAACATAAAATTAAAGAAAGATTGTCATTTTAATTGTTTAGGTCAGTATTTAAAACCTTCATTGCTCATTAAACATGGCAAGTGTGTATTAAAACAGAGTTGTAACGTCTGAATTGTGATTACTTTTAATAATAATGTAAGAAAAGTACTTAAATATTTGTAAGCAATACATTATTTTCACAGATTAATCGAACACGTTAGGCAAAATGTATTTATTTTTAATGTAAAGTTTGTAAGAATTCTGCATTTTTCAGTATTGCGTCGCAACTTTTTGTCGCATTCTTTTAAAATTTCTGACTCTGTTGTGTTTTTTTTAACCATTTGGCATAAGAATTTGTCAAATATTGTATCTTAACTAAGCATGGGTTAAAAAAAAAAAAGAATAATAATGTGACTGAGCACAACTTTTTTGCTTTTGACGATGTATGTTTGGTTTAATAAAACGTGTTAGAACCTAAAAGTAGACAGAATTCAGACATACAAAAACACAATTGTCGAAACCCGGACAAAGTCTAAACAGGGACTGAGTCAGGACCAGACAAGCCTGGATTAAACCAAGCCTAAACCAGGACTAAAAATAGGCACAGTTCTCTAACAACCTCATGAACTCTAATAATTTTAAGACTTTCCCAAACCTTTTTTACTTCCAATATACATTTCTCTCTACACACTTGACACGCGGATCTTTTGTGTGTGAAATAACGCTCGCAGGAAGTTAATGCCGCTCTTTTAATCTGCGCTAATAAACGTTTCCTTACCTTTGGCTGAGCTCGGGTCCGCGCCGCCTGAATACGCATCCGGACGACCTCCTCCTGTTCACACAAGCCCAGAGTGTGGATTCCTGCTCGGCTTCTCACTGGAAAGACACAGGGGCTTTTCAATTAGGGTCGGCTTGTTAACTGCAATGCAAATTTTCAGATAATGATTCAAGAATGTTTTTACAGATAAGAACTATATCACTGTAATCGTTGAATAAACATACTCTTAATGTATTTTAATAGATAAGCTGTTGGTTAGAGTAGGGCAATTTCAGTAACCAAATTAAAAGGCACAGTATGAAGCCAAACTATCTGGAAGAGGAAAGTTAAAACCATTCTCCATGAAGTTATATAAATGTAATGCCATACTGTGGAACATTATAGATAAATGTGGTAAAATCTCTCAGTCGTCCAGGTAGAATCCAAGCCAGGCTGGTGCCACCTAGCGCCTCCGCTCATTTTAATTTCTCTCCAGTGACTTAGTCAGGAATCGGAATACACTAGATGGTTTGCGAAAACCCCAGAAGTGAGAGCCAATCAGCAAAGAGCCATATATTCAGTGTTGTCAACGATTCCTGAGATCGAGGATTTAAAGCCGGAACAAAGAGAATGTTTGGTGAATTTTGTCAAGGGGAAAGACGTTATTGTCCTTCTTCCTACGGGATTTGGGAAAAGCTTAATATACCAGTTATCCCCGTTAGCGGCGCATTACATACGTGACTACCAAATATCAGCGATTGGTTAAATGATAAAAAGTACCCGCCTACTGTCGAGCGAACGAAATCTAATGCTGCGAGGTCAGACGGTTTGTATGAAGTGAAATGAAGTGAAACCGGCTGATGAATCAGGCTTGTAGAATCCATGGCAAAAGGAGAAATTCAAATGGTTAACTGGACAAAAGTTTTTTGGTCGAAAGTTTATTTTGGTTTATTCGACCAAATAAATTTCAGTCCAGTTGATAAATTTCTCAAACATTGGAAAAACATTTCCATGGAAACAAGCAAGAAGACACTCTCCTCAAGAGTCAGGTTTGTGGAGATGCAAGCTCGCGCCGAGTTAGGAGGCATGAAGTTTTTCACACAATCAAACTACCATATTTTTATTTTAAGCTTTTTTGGTTAAAAAGTAACATTCTGTGGCTTTAGGGAGCATGTTTTTTTTTATAGATATATATATATATATATATATATATATATATATATATATATATAAGCTCAGAGTCTTACCTTTTAAATGCAATTTATTTTATGTTTTTGTGTGCTTCAGAGGCTGAGATATTAAGGCTTTTTAGGCATTGACAGTTGACCTTCAGGAGATAAGGACCTTTACCTTAGAATAGCAGGTTTTTAAAGGTGTTTTTTGCAGGAGTTTTAGATGTAAATGGGTTAAATAAATCTAAACGAAAAATAAAAATAAGGGACGATGAGAACAAGATCAAAACTCAAGTGAAGATAGCCTGATTTTAGGAAGGGCTATTCATTTTTACTTGACAAGACACATAACATTTATGCCACAACTAAAACGTTAAGGTCTTCTCCTTTGTATTTATAAAACAGTATCATTCAAATATAGGCAATGTGGAAAGCTTAACAACAATTCTTGATATTAGGGATGTAACAATAACCAAAATATCATGATATCGTATTGTCAAAAGTGTCACAATAATATCGTGGACTTTGTTCTTTGCTTAAATGCAGGTTTTATAGCAGCAACAGCTTATAAACATCGGAAACTACATATCCCATGATTCATTTCAGTGCAGACAACATGAAGAAATGTGTTTTTTACTTGAATTCTTGGGATTATGACGGTAATAATCCACACCAAAATCTTGTCAAGGTATTTTAAAAGGAAAAAAGTGTCCCATCTACGATAATATTAGAGTCTCCAAAATATAATAAATATCGTACTGTGAAAAACATATCCGTGAAAATACTGTACAGAGAGATTTGGATATCGTTACATCCCTGCTTGATATGCGTAATTATCTAGGCTAATACAAAGGAGTCATCTAAAAATAAAACTAAATAACTCTCCCAAAAATAGACTAACCAATAAACAAAATCAGAATTCGCCGTCAAAATCATCACTTCCAACCAGGTGAGCTTCCCCTCTCAGCAAACGCACAAGCCCTGATCAAATTAAACCGTTAAAAAGTGTGAAATCTCGACACCTCTCACTGTGGAGGTCACATTATGAGCCCGTTCACAAAAAGCATGAGTTTGTTTAAGGTGCGACATTTCAATGAGCGTCAAATGGCTTTTTAAAGTGAAAAGGCTCAAAGGGTTTATAGCTACAGCGGAATGAAAATGTGTTGATTGGGAAAGCATAATGGTTGAATCATTTATGCAAGTTGGTGAAATTAACTTAAAACTTACCGTGTATATGTGGGAAATTGAGTTATTCTTTATGTCAGGATCTGAAAAAGAGTTTACCATATTTTTCGAACTATAAGCCGCACTTTTTTCTCGGTTTGGGTGTTTCGTGTGACTTATGCTCTTATAGTCTT